GGTATATCCGCGTCTATCTCTTCTGTTGCGCTGATTGGATAAGGAAAGGACAAGGAGACGAGAGACATGCACCACTCTGCTCCACGTGTCGATGGTCACCCCACCTCCTCCTGCTCCGTCGGTCGCCTCGTTGCTCCTACTCTGTGGCCCGCTCCATCATCGACGGTCACCCCATGCTGCTCCTTCTCCTACTCCATCACGCTGCCCCGCTGCCTCTGCTCTATGGTGTGCTTCACCTGACGGCACGGGCACCGCCGTGCCCATGAGTGGCGACCGCTCCCTCGGTCGCCAGCTAACCAATGAGGTCGCCGCTCAAGGAGAAGCATCGAGCCCTGGCGCGGAAGCCCTCTGGCCTCGCCTCCTGCTACGGCTACGGCGCCCCGATGCAGACAGCAGAGGAGGCCGCACCAAGATATGATACATGTTGCAAGAGTACATTTCAAATGTTTTAGATGTTTTAGAGGTATGTTTCAAGTGTTTTATAAGGATGTTGCAAAAGTAGATCGAGATGTTGCACATGTTGTAATGGGTTGTACATGTATGTTTAAAGTATATGTTCCAAATGTTTCATCTGTTTTAGACGTATGTTGCAAGTGTTTCATTTGAATGCTGCAAAACTAGATTGGGATGTTACATATATATGCAAGTGTTTTTCGGTGTTTTTATACGTATGTTACAAGTGTTTCATCTTGATGTTTGCAATAGCTACACATGTGTTTTCAAGTTTTTTTAGTGTTTTGCAAGTGTTTCAGACGTATGTTGCAAGTGTTTCAGCTGTTTTAGACATATGTTGCAAGCGTTTCATCTGGATGTTGCAAAAGTAGATCGGGTGTTGCATATGTTGCAATGCGCGTGAGAAGGGGATAGGGCGCGAGCGGTCCCTGCGCGCAGTCTGGCGGCGTGGGTGAAAGCCCTAGTTTGATTTTGGATAATTGATGAAACATAGGACTAACCTTTGATCTAAGTGAGTGAATTAGATAAGGTGGCCCAATCCAAGTTGTGGAGCAAGTTAGAGGTCCGTGGTGATGAAGGTGAACATGGAATGAAGACGATCATGCTCCAACTTGGAAAAGAAGAAAGAGAAAAACAAAAACCAAGGAGATCAAGGCAAAGGTATAAGATATGTTTTGTTTTTAGTGATCAAGACACTATAGAGAGTGTGATCACATTTAGGATCGATAGCCGTACTATAAAGAGGGTAAATCTTTGGCTAAGCGGTTATCGAGTGCCACTAGGTGACATTGTTCTTGCATATGCATTTAGGAACCTAGTGTACTAACTTTAACCCTTGTAAAATGCTTTGAAAAATGTTAACACACATGCACATAAGTTCTACACTTTGTGGTTAGCAAGTTGGAAGAAAGGGCGAAGTGGTTGTGGACTTAGAAAAAAAAGGAGGAGACTGATGTGACCAGACGCTGGCCACATCCTGACCGGACGCTGGCAGCCAAGTCTGGTCATTTATAGCCGTGACACAATGACTGGCCGAGGAAGGACCGGACGTTGTCCCTGGCTTCACCGCAAGCGTCCGGTCACTTTTTTATGAGGAGGAGCTTTGGCGCGACAGACGCCAAGCCTTGGCCGCGCGTCGGTCGGCGCTGACGATATCTTTGGCGTCGGCTCATGCGCGGTCGGAAGGAGAGTGTATTGACCGGACGCAGGGGCATGTTAGGTCATCGTTGACCGGACACATCCGGTAAGTAAAAGTACGCTCTGAAACCTCTCTGTAAACACCCTGACTCTGCTTCGTGGAGCGTCAGGTCGCTCGAGCGGTGCGTCCGGTCCTAACTTGAGTGTACGCGCGATCAAGAGATGACCATTGAAAATCGGTGGACGAGATTCAAAGCGTTGACACATGGATGGTCGAGGGCGATCGGACGTTGGCCGACCGGACGTTGGCGTGCGTCCGGTCAGCCTGAGAGCTCCCAACGACTCTCTGAGTTTTGGGGCTCTATAAATAGGAAGGTACCGGCTTGGGGCTCACTCTCTTAGCACTTTGACATACTTGGCATCCTTGTGAGCCTAGGCAAACCTCTTCCACTCATCTTCATCATTGATTCATTATCGTAGTGAGATTATGAGTGATTCCAAGTGTATTTGCTTAAGTGATTGCATCTAGTGGCACTTGGGGATCGTTGTGGCTGTGGATTTCTTGTTACTCTTGGTGGTTGCCGCCACCTAGACGGCTTGGAGCAGCAGAGGAGCTTTGGCACGTGTTGGTGATTGTTCGTGGCCGGCTCCGGTGATTGTGAGGGGTCTTGTACCTTCTCCGGTGGAGAGCCTAAAGGTAACTCTAGTGGATTACTCGTGTTATTGAGTTACCTCACCTGTGGGTAGGTTCTTGTGGTGTCCAATTGTGTGGGCGAGGTTTGTGCAACACCTTTTAGTCACCGAACCACCAAGTGTTGGTCGACACAACAGGGACTAGCGTGCCGACAAGCACGTGAACCTCGGGAGAAAAATCGTGTCTCTTGTGTGATTGAATTTCTCCCGGTGATTGGATTGTCTATATCTTGTGATTGGTTCATTCCTCGACGCGGCGGTATAATAACCTTACTCACTCCATTACTTTTCCGCAAACTAGTTGTAGCAAGCTCTTTAGTATAGCTAGAATTGAGAGCTTGCTCTATAGCTTAGTTTTATCTAGTGGAGCTCTTTAGTGTAGCATTGTTGAGAGCTCTTAGTGAGTAGTGACATAGCCGTTTGTGTGCATAGAGATCATATTAGGACCTTTCAGCGGGCCCATATGGGCGCGCGAAATACAGGCTCGGGTGGGGGCGTGCTGGCCTAAGCACGGGAAATGGAGTGCAGCGCGGGCGTCCGGACGTTCGGGCGCTAGCACTACCGTTGACTAACTGAGGCAGTTAGATGAGCTTGATTTTAACTAGGCTTGTCATTTGATGGGCCTTTAACGGGCCCTATACTAACTGTGCCAGCATTACGGGACAAAAATTTAGCCCAAGCACGGCCCAATGCATCGGGCTGGGCCAGAACGGGCCCATTAACTTTCATGTCATGTCGTGTTGGGGTTGTGTTAAAATAGAGCGTGCCTTGCAAATAGCTTGTGGTCCAGTGGTAGGGCTATCCAGTGGGATGCTACCCACCGGGGTTCAGACCCTGGTGTCGCACCTTTTCTGGAATTTTTCTAGAAATTTTAGAGTACACTCATGCGTGGGCGTACGGTGGTAGTGCGCGTTTCTCACGCACTGGAAGCTAGAGAAGCCTCTCAATCTCTTCTTTGCGTGTGTATGGACACGTACGCGTGTGTGCGCGTGTGGTGTGAGTGTGGAGTGTATGGGTTGTGTACGTCCAAATTGTACCCGGTCAAAAAAAAATGGAGCCTGCCTTGTGCCGCCCATGAAGCCTAGCCCATTTGGCCATCTATCTGATTATCACATGCGACAAGCAATAAATTATGCATGCAAATAATGCTTGATAATTATTGTTGTCAGTCAAAATTTGATCAGAAGAGAGTTGAAGATGGAATGAAAAATCACGTCCAAACAAAAAAGGATTTAATTTGGATTGAATTGTCCAAGTTTGCAAAAACATAGAAAAAATCAACCCAGGTCGGTTTGGGGCCTGCCTGGCTGAAGATTGCTAAAACCAGCACAGACCGGTGTTACCGACCTGAGTCAAGCATATGAACTCACCAAACGCATTCGAGTCAGATGCTTTCTATATGAGATCAGTGTTGTTGACTCACCATGAGTTTGAGGATGATGTTAGATGTATATATTGTAGTCACTAGAGTAGCCGAGTAGGGTGTTACTACACTTTCTACATCTCTCTATCTTGGCCCTTTAGTCGTTGGAATACACCAGAGTTGCAGTTCCTAACATTGCTGACCAGGTATATCCTGATTCGCGAGTAGTCATGGTGTGGTAATTTCCCTGGCCACGAGGGAGTCACGTCGCGATCACAAATTAGTTCGCCCATGAGATGAGGTTGCGACGGTGGTACGGGATGGAAAGTGCCGAATAAATAGGATCGGGGTTGAGAGTAGCTACACCCTGAAAGTAGAAAATGATCGAGCACTAGTCCATCCTTAGAATCAAATATACACTTGCTTGTTTAGCAGAAGCTTTCGAAGAAGAAGATAGGATGAGCGCACTCCCTGATGAGTGATGATATCCTGCTCCACTTCCTGGAGCGCATATACAGTGTTCCAGGCCAGCACTCTCCTGGTCCTGGTGATGGGCTCATCTCCCTCCCTCGCTCGCTCTCTCATCTCCTGTGCACCTGCACGGTGGATCAGGTATTCAGGTCATGACCGCCTACACAGCATCTCTCCCCTAGTAACCTCAGAGATGTTTATATGTACAACATTTTCGTTGAGTGACCTCTATTGGACTGGCTATATATGTTTGTCCTTGAAGCTGAGCGTCCTTGTTGCCATCAATTGTAACACTTCCTTTGCCTTCTGACTTTCTCAGACTAATTTGTGGAAGATGTCTCGGTGCTTTGTAATTGCCTAGAAAGAAATCATGGTTATCTATAGTAAACTGCAATGGTTAAATTTAAGCTGACCATATATTTCATTTGGTCATGCAATTTTATTTATTCCCACAAAAGCATAACAAGTAGGAGTATATTACTGCATGATAACTTTTACCATATATAAATTGTTTCTGGAACATACATAAGCATATCCGTGAAAAGCAAACAGGAAAAATAGGCAGTCAAAGAACCTAACCTACTACTTTGCCTACTGATGAATGCTGACCTAAAACAGGGTTTCGCTTCTCCTCGTGTACTACTTGTTTCTTCGTCTATGTACATTACGCCAAAACAGGCTGATGACATATATAGATAGCTTTGTATTGTATCTAGCATTGTAGTGCCAAGAAAATAATAATGGCTGCTGGCCTTTTTGCATCACCCAGTATATATGATCTTGTTGGATATGTGCTTCGTTTGATAATTTGCTTCTGGTGAGTAGTGATGCTGGAGCCTTGCAGTTTTCTACAAGTTCCATGATGGCACAGGTCAACCTCAAGTCAGTATGCAGACCGGGTTGAGGCTGCTGATGACACACGCTCAGAGCTCTTCACGTTGTATCGCTCATACACTTTTTCCCGGTTCTCATTCCACCAATTTTCCGCCTGATGCTCACCAAAACGTCTTCGGCTGCGAAAAGTAAATTTCAAGAAAGGCAAGAATTCAGATAAGTGGGACTTTGCAAAGAAATACTGGCTTGTCAATGTTCAATACAGCAGTCCTGGATAGCTATACAGTATTACTTGCTGCTACAAGTAATGGAAAAGGTGCTCGTACCGCCTGCTCAGAGAATAATAATGCAGCCTTTATTTCTCTAAAAAGAATGTGTGGTTTGGAACATTTTGTGTTCAAGAATTTAAAGACAAACGCACTTTAGTTCTTGTTTGGCTGCATGTTTTGAAGTGCTCAGATACTGTATAGTGTCAGGAAAGGTGAAGTGATGTGAAGAGTGCTCATTAATAATAAAGCGACTAAAACAATGCAATTGTCAAGATTTGTAATCTGTATATGGAAAATGCAACTGGAAAAGGGATTAGTCCAGGAAACAGAGATAAATTATAGCTAAATCACCTGAAGCGAACCCTCTTCAGATCCCGGGTCCCATCACGGAGGGTTGTGAGTGTTATGTATACGCCGGGTTCATACTGCTCGATCCATTCAGCCTGAACTTGGTTGCTTGGTAATGATATCGTGCCTCGAGGCTTGTAGCCATCCTCACCGCTTTGAAGGGACATAGCATCCATGCTCACATTATCATCCACTCTACTGCCTGCTGTCAGCATCTCATCGCTGCTGCTGCGTGCTCTTCGATTAGGAAGCTCCGAGTCGTGAGGACTGGCAATTCTTAGGCTGTGAGTGCTGCAATCACTATGTTCACTCACATTACCCAGTAATTTATGTTGGCCTGAGATTCCATTGCAATGCGATGATCGTCCAGAGCTTGGACTATGTGCAATTGAAGCATTGAGCAACTCATTCCGTGTCTGGTGAATTCCATTCATGCTAGAGTAGCTAGCAACATGTGACTCAATGCCATTCGGAATATGTGATTGCTTTGTCTCATTGACATTATAGGCCCCGTGATCTGGTGGTAATCTCTCAGCCATATCCTTCAGCTACACGAGTCAGAAAAAGGCACACGACGATAAGGATTTACCATTTGTTAAAACAACATACCCACTCATGTATTTAGTTATCTTAAATATACAAGTGACTCCAGTTAACATTTAGCAGGTTCTTTGTAGCAAAGATGATTGTGACAGCATACAGAAATAACACACATCCGATCCGACACTGTTCTTCCCAGAAAAAGAAAACGGGAATTTAACAACAAGACACTGTTCTAGAAAGCGATTTTCAAACGTTGAAAAACTTTACAAGTTGAGTATTTTGTTAGTTGAGTCAGTAAAACATCACAAACCATGAGAAACTAGCAAAATATTAGATTTTACCTGAGCGGTTAAAGATTTTATAACTTCTTTTGCAGCTTTGGATTTTGCAGATTCTTCGGCAACCAGTGTCATGGCCTCTTGTACCTTTTTTGCTGATTTTTGAAGCTCAAGTTCTTGAAGCTCGCAACGATTTCTCAGGTTATCAACCTAATAATGGATAAAAGTACTAATTGTTGCTACATGATAAACATCAAAAAACAAAGGTTTGACTGAATAATGAGGAATACACACCTGTGCACGCAGTCTTTCAACTTCCTGATTTAAGAGCTCATTTGCTTTAACAATATTATCAGTAGCACTTTTTGAGAGAGAAAGACCATGGGCTGTTGGAACTGGTGTAGTAGAACGTGGTGGAGTGGGCTTGCGAGAGAAAGGGGGAAACAGCTCTTGAAGTAGTAACTGACCGAGCTGCAGATATGCGTACTGCTCTTGGAGCTGATCTGTTCATGCCCAAGCCACCAGATAAAGCAATATCACTCAGCTGCAGGAGCGAACTAACTTGAGGATTCCGGAGAAATGATAGCCCATCAGTTTTCTTCCCTTGCCGTGCTGCCTTGATATCCAAATTTCGAATCATATCCATATTACTAGGCAAACTAGCCTTTCCTACTTTAGCATCGCCATTGCTTTCAACAGGTTGGTAGGGAACAGGGTCTTTCCTCCGGTTAGCTGCATTAGGATCCGAGGCATTATTCAACTTCAAGAAACATGAATCACAAACACGGTAAGGTTTCCCAGGACTAGGAGCCAGTGCTGCTCTCAAAGCCTTCCGCGAGGTGCAGGCATTGCAATGGACAAGTCCACAATTATAGCAGTTACGCCTCTTTCGAGTAAACCCAAATGGCTGTCGACATGAGGAACACTGTGATTGGTCAGCTCCAGAAACCCATTTATATTGACAAATAGCAGCAGTGAAGTTAGCACCACAGGCTATGTACCTAACAGTTCTATCTTTCAAGGCTTCAACCAGTGTAGGCACCTTCCGATCCTCTATGTCTCCATGGCCCAATCTTCCATTAGCTCCCTTTCCCCATGTAAAAACTTCACTCCTACCTGTCAAAACTGCGACATGGTAGGAGCCACAAGCAATTTGGATAACTTGTTCACCCACAATCTTGTCTTCAACTAAACAAGGTATCCTTCCATCTGAATGAGGATTTCCGAGCTGACCATAAACAGCATTACCCATGCTCAAGACTTGTCCAGAAGTTGTCAAGGCAACAGTAAGACTGTGACCACATGCTACCCTGTAAAAATCATGATCAATAAGCGTAGCCACGCAAGTCGGCTTAAGTCGAGTTTCTTTGTCACCATGACCAAGTCGATGCTTGTCACCATCTCCCCATGTGAACAGCTTTCCAGCAGATAGCTTTACACTTGAACTGGACCGAGTGACAATAACCTCCACAATAGCTGCAGTGTGCCATACACCACATGCCACAGCAATTGTTTTCAATCCTGATAGTGACTCTACCTCCCTTGGGTAAGAAACACTTTTCAGATCTCCGTGGCCTAATACACCAAATGAACCATCCCCAAAGGTAAACAATTGGCCCATGGATGTTATCAAGGCTGTATGCCAGGTCCCACATGAAACATAAGCAACTTGAAGACCTTCCAATGCTCCAGAAACTCTCTTAGGTATCCAGTGTCCTACATCATTGCCATGCCCGAGAAGCCCAACATTGTGAGTTCCATCTCCCCAGGTATAAAGCTCACCCGTTGTTGTAACAGCACAAGTATGAAATTCCCCACAGGCAACAAAATCTACATTGGAAACTGTCAAAGACTCAACCAGACAAGGGCGAACACAATCTTCTCGTGTTCCATGGCCAAGGCGGCCTCCAGAATCTTCACCCCATGTAAAAACCTCACCATTTTTCATGACCAATGCAGCATGCTTAACCCCACAATCTACATGATACACATCAAGAACTAAATTGGACTCCAATGGCTTCGGGAGGAGGATGTCAGTCCTGCCAGTTGAACTAATTACAGTATCAGAACCAGTTCGTACTGAAGTATCGCAGACAACCTCACCCCATACATACACATCCCCTAATGAATCACATTCATCTTGTGCAGAACCATGGCTAGATGTACTTGGGGCACTAGAAATGCTTGCTCTGAGAACATCTGAAGATGGCCCCTTTGTGAGCATATTGTTGCATCTGCTCACAATGCGACCATAAAGCTAGGAGAGTAGTACCAATGTAGAAACAGAATCACTACTGCCAGTGATGCAGCGCAACAATGCTGAATTGATGACAGAGGTGCTAGAATAAAGTGGACATGACAAATACCTGCACATATTAACAGAAATGCATAAAAAAATGCAGAAGAGAAAATTGGAGAACAGGTAAAACTTTATGCAAGAGAAAAAGGGCAATAAAGGTATGTGCACATTGAAAATTATGGTACTACATCCTACTATGTGTAAATAAGAATAACATGTTTCCCCAGCAATATTCAGGAAAAAAATCCAAAGCAACTAAATATAAATTGAAAGGTCAATTTAGAATTGATTAACAATTATTCTGGATAGGAGTTGACCAAGCTCACAACATTCACTGCCAGAACATATCATGAACAGACCACATTCAAATTCTACATTTAAATTGGATAAATCAGATAGTGCCCATGACTCCACTGAAATTTTTGACGGAGGAAAGACTCCATTGAAATTGGCCAAATAAAAACCACCATGAGTATAACTATTACCAACAGTTACTGGCCAGAAACCATAACCGCCAGCGGACCAAGATTTTTGTAAAAGCAGAATGAAACTCTCTTCCAGAACCATGATAGAAGAGTTTTACCAAAAAGAGACAAAAGCTCCTCTGATATTTAAATGAAGTGACTCCTTGTAAGCAGACTTGATGAGCATCAGACAAGTAGGTTACACATTTTGTTGTATTAAAAAACTGGGTGAACCCACAGTGTATGCCAACAAAGAATTTAATGCTGGCAACTTGAAATACTCCACTACATCCTTTTATTCCCCCAAGATAACCATAATCTGCACACGAACAAAAGCCTAACATCAATGAAGGTGTGGGCGTGTGGCAAACTGGCAACATGCCAACCGTCAGCATCACATTTTTTTTTGTCAGTGTGAGCACTTCTGATGGCATCGTCTATTGACATGTAAATCCACACCACCTGGTGCAATCTAAAAAACAAGATGATGCAAACAGAGAAAGCATTCCTCAGCCAAGTAGCTTAGCAGTACATTACCATCACAGCTAATATCATCAGGTTGTGAAGACCGAGAAACGCAAACCGCATTCAGGCAACTTTCCTCCCAACGTTACCAAACCAAATCGGTATCAGGGGTGGCTGTAATATGTAAACTACCTACTCAAATTGCCAAGAAACATCAACAACAGAACCGCAGGGAGCAGAAATCCGGAAAATCTACACACTAGATTCTTCCAGAAATGCAAGGAGCCCCCTTTCTGGCCGTACCGGCACCAACTGACTAGGGTGCGCAGAGAAACAGCGAAAAGAACCAAACTTTGCACAGGAACGAGAAAGATTCGCGTACCACAAGCTCCTGGGGGAGACGAAGCGTCAGGTCTCCACGCGCCCAAGAGGCGAAGAACTCTCCTGCCCCTGACGGCTGCCGCACTCCCTACAAGATGGGATTGGATCCACCCGGCGGGAGGTCGGAGCGCC